TTAATTCTTCTTTAATTTCCTGGTTGACCCATTCATTCTTCAGTAGGATGCTCTTTAGCCTCCATGTATTTGAGTTCTTTCTGACTTTCCTCTTGTGATTGAGTTCTAGTTTCAAAGCATTGTGTCTGAAAATAGGCAGGGAATGATCGCAATCTTTTGGTACCGGTTGAGACCTGATTTATGACCTAGGATGTGATCTATTGACCATTAGCTTTTAAGGATGCTCACTCCAGTCTGTCTCATCTTGAAAACAGATGCTCATTCATCCTTCCCGCCCCACGTTCCCCTAGCCCTGTCTTGGTCGGGGGCGTGCTGCTTTCAGTCTTGCAGCAGCTTACAGTAGTGACACGTACGACCCGTGTGAAATTGAGCGAAAGATAGCCCTTGGTCTCTGACTTTCCCTCCAGGTTGAAGTAAACACCGGTTCTAAGCAGGTTGCCAAGGTTTGGAACCCTGACGTAAGTTCCAAGAGATGAACATCAACCCTTTTTTTTTTTTTTTACACAAGGCTTCTTTATTCTGGGTCTTATTTTATCCTTACAGGCAAAAATGTCAGTAAGTAGAAAGGTCAAGACAGTGTAGTCATGTAATTGCTAGATTTCCTACCCACGCAGCAGGATTTCAAAGGTGGCGAGGTTCCTAGTGATGTCAGAGTTCAGGGTGCGGCCCCAGTACCGAGTGGCTGGCCCGGATGGGCACGCCGAGAAAAACCACAAGCCGGTGAGGTCACCTGTAGTCAGAGGTGGCCCACATGTGGTCTCCTTTGTTTCATGTCGGGGGGAGGGTCTGGAGAGGACTTCGGGATGGGGCCATGCGACAAGAAAACTTCATTTGTTTGTCATTCATAGTTGTTTGTAGGTCATTGTCTCACTCCTCCCTAAACCACCTCACTTCTGACATTCATACCATCAGGATCAACCCCCCACGATCTCTTCTTGTAACAGCCTTCTCACGAAGACCCACTCGGTTCCCCTGCAGAGACCTGTTACCTGTGTCGGCAAATACGAGATAAAATGCATCATTATTTCAGGTCCCTGAAATAATGAACCATATCAGTTGATTTACTATAATCTTATATACTACTTTAAAATAGAAAGGGATAGTAGTGGTATTTCCTGTGGAAACTTCCTGTGGAAACTCCTGTGGTTACCATTTAGTTGGGGCCTAACTTTTGTCCGTAAGTGTTGCATGTTCTGTAAGTAATGTGCCAGGGAACGTGTTCTCACATGGCTTGGGTTTTGTCCGTGTTCCTGATACCGTTGTTGTGAGATTTAGTGTTCTCCTAACATGCCAGAACAGAAGAGACACTTACATGAAATGCGGATCTTCGGCCATGAGTGGATGGACATCTCCCTTTGTTTGAAGGCACGTTGTCTCCTGTCGGCTTTTTGTGTGTGCGCGCTAGCGAACGTCTTCCGTGTTTCAGAAATTGAACATGACCTTGTGAAGTTTTCCTCTTCATAGAGGAGACCTTTGGCAGGCACTGGTGACAGATATGCACCTTCCGTGAGGCAATTACCCGTGGCACCCTAAGCCTGGAGGACTCACGGGCATGGGAGGGACGATTTTCCCATAACCCCCGTGAGCAGAAACTGTCTGCAAGATACCTGCCACGATTAACTTCAGGGCTTCCAGCTTTTTCTTTTCCCCAGTCTCCTGGAACATGAAAAAAAAAAAATGGGTTGGCGCTCTGCGGATTAGAGCAGTCCCTGAAATGAAGAGGTGTGTTTTGGAATGCCTGGGAAGTATGGCTTAATGCGCTAGCAGGAGTCGGTCCATATGCACCTTTAGGACCGTGTGGCAAATCAGAAAAGTCATTTAGCATGCCTAGAAGTTAAAATTTCCTTTAGCAGGAGTCATAATATCTAACGTGATCAACCCCACACCCGTTTTTGTTTTGTTTTATTTTGTTTTTATTTGTGTGTGTGTGTTTGATGCTCCACACACACAAACGGTGGTAGATGGCATTCAGGGACACAAGTCTTAAAGAGGCACAGCGTAGCTGAAGACAGCAGAAGAGTTGGGTTTACGGCTGTTTTTTTTTTTCTTTTCTCTGATGGATATTGGACTTCTTTTCCCTACCTTTGAAATTTAGTTTGAAGTTACTTGGAAAGAGTGAAGATAAAAAAAGTCATTGAAAGTCAGAGACCTGCTGTGTGCTGAGCTCTGTGCTTCTCAGCTGTGTGGGTGACCACGGACCGAAGCCTCTCTCTCGTCAGGTACATTTGGGAAGTCAGGCTTCTTTATTACAGAGCTTCTCTGAGCCTTTAGTACATACGTGTGTTGTGAGCCTCTTCCTCACCCCGAACCCCCCACCCCCCCGCCCCGCATTTCCCAAAGGTTTTTGGTCACACAGTCTTATTTTTTATGTTGCCTATTTGCAGGTGAAAACACTTGGTATATCACTAGCTTTCTGTTTTTGGGATCTGAACTTGCTGTCCTTGAATAAATTTCAAGGGGTCTGGAATTGGATGCATAATTAGGGGAGGGTAGATAGGCAGGTGGATAGATAGATAGGTGGATCGGTAGGTAGATGTGTTTGTTTTTCTGAACGTCATCTAAAAGGTCTGTAACCCCAATAAAAGGCAAAAGCACTATTATGTAGGAAGCCCGAAGTTTCTCTGTGGATGCATTTTTAAATTCTGTAAGGGACCTGACAGCAGACACAGGCTCTGGAAGTTCTGTCTCAGGCCCGGCTGTTGTCAGGCAGGGTGGGAGAGCGCTTACAGTTCTCCCACACTAGAGTCTGGACTTCATCCAAATGAGCGAGCAAGTGTTGTTTCCCCAGCTGCAACGTATAAAGGAATCTAAGACCTCTATAGGAAGTGGCTAAGGTCATTAGACCGACCTGGGTGTGTTTCTGGCTGGCTCCTCCTTGTGTGGCACTGCGCACATCTCTTCCCTTTGGGGGCATGTTTATCTATGAAGTGAAGGGTTAGGCTAGGAAAATGTGGAGGGATTTTAGGAATCTCACAGCCTCTGTTTTACGTGATGGGAGCTGATAGGACCTTAGACCCCTGCTAGTGCTGCTCATTTTCCTTTGCCTTATTTGGTAGAGAGCTTGGGCTTATCCCAAAGGGTGCTGTGAGCCCTGACAATAAAAAGCTCCACTGAGGCCCAGGGGCCACTGTCCCAGGGCCCTGGGCCTTTGATGTCTTTGGTTTTCTTTGGAGATGTCCACAGTCCTCTGTCTGGTTGGAGCCTTCCCCGGTGGGTGCAGCAGAGCCAGGATTCCTTGTAACGCACCTTGCACTAGAAGACCTGGGACAGGTTGGTGGTGTCTGAGAAGCAGCCCATCGCTCACTGGTGGCACTCTCTCCCACTGAGCCCTGGTGCACTTTGGAATCCTTAACCTAGTGTTTAGAAATTCACCCCCAGTGGACTCTCAGCACATGGGATGAACTTGATGCCATCTTGAGTGGTGTGGTCAAAGGTATGTCTTTGGAGTTAGATGGGTTTGAACTTCTACTCTACCGTTTTGAATTGTTTGATCTTAGGCAGTTTACGTTGGAGTCGGGTTCCGCTTAGATGTCCTCAAGGAAGATATTTAACTTTTCTGTGCCCTAGTGTTTCTGCTCTGTGAAATTGTGCTCATGGTAACAACTGCAAAGGGTGGTTGCTAGTAAACACGACTCAGTGTCTGCAAAATGCTTAGCACGGCGGTGCCAGGCGGAGTCCACAAATGTGGTGCTTGCTCAGTGTCATTGTCAGCTAGGGAGTGAGGCAAGTTGTCAGCTGGTTCAGGGCACTGGGGCAGATCCTCTAAAGGGCCTGCAACGTGTACTATCCAGCCCTCGGGCCCTGGAGTAGCTCTGCAGCACACGGAAGTAGAAAAACACTGAGTTAGGAGGAAGAGCAGAAGTAAAGTATGTGGGGGAGCCTGAGCATGTTCAGTGGTTGCTTTGCCTTTAAAAGAGAACTGTGGGGACGCCCGGGTGGCTCAGGCAGTTAAGCGCCTGCCTTCAACTCAGGTCATGATCCCAGGGTCCTGGGATCGAGCCCCGAATCGGGCTCCCTGCTCAGTGGAGAGCCTGCTTCTCCCTCTGCCTCTGCCCCTCTCCCCCTACTTGTGTTCTTGTTTGCTCTGCTCGCTCGCTCTCTCTCAAATAAATAAAAAATCTTAAAAGAAAAAAAAAAAGAACTGTATCAGGTTTAGCAAATGGGGAATGAGCATAGACATCTAATGAATTACAATTCTTCTGCATGGTTTCTTTCATTATGTTCCAGCGTGAAGTCTTTGTAACCTAGGGTGGCTCATTGTTCTGGCTCGTCTGGGACTGACCTAGGAGTTAATGGGATGTGGGACCGACTTTGGGGTTTGATGGGATGTGGGGCTTTCAGTGCTTGGGACAAGTCTGCATGAGTTATCATCCTACTAAAACCTCAATACTCCTGTTTGTCAAGAGGCTAAAAGGAGGTACAGTCTGTGTGTGAGCACAAAGCACCTTGCTTGGCACATAGTAACTCCTCCTTAAATTTTTGGAGAATTGAATCTAAATCTCAGGTTCACAGCCCGCTCTCCGAGAGCTTGAAGGGAAGCAGTGGCCAAGTGCTTTGTGTCTTTTTAAATTGGCATTTCCCGTTTTGGCCCCCTTTGAACAGCTTTTATGCCCTGGCATTGGTTTCTTTTAGTCTCCACTTGAAATCTGTGGAGTGAAATAGTAACATTTATCTTGCAGGGATACTGTAAGGATTCAGGAAGACATGTGTGATTAGCACAATGAAAAGTGTTTAGCCCAGTTCCTGGCTCACACTAAGCTCTTAGGAAGTGGTAACTTTGGGAATAATAAAGTCCTCAATGTTTTCTATAGATGCTCCTTGGAATCAATAGTTCCATCAGTGAGAATTCCTAAGTTGGAACGACAGCTGTTGATTGAGCTTTTTTGGCTTCTTTAGCTTTATTCAGTCATTTCTTAGCACCTTTCTTATTCTAGAACGCCTCCGGGAGAAGATCGTGTACCTGCACAACTGAAAATGTGTGTTTTCAAATTCTATTTTAGATAACGAGGAGTACCTGATTAATCTGATAGACTCTCCAGGACACGTGGACTTCTCCTCGGAAGTCTCCACAGCTGTCCGCATTTGTGACGGGTGCATCATCGTGGTCGATGCCGTGGAAGGAGTCTGTCCACAGGTAGTAGGTCGTAATGTGGAAATACGTAACGGGTCAAATAAAGGAGGCGGGGAAAACAGGAGGGACTGGCCGCTGATGGCTCTGTGCCATTTTAGACGGTTCACTGACAGTCAGAAAGTTGGTTTTACATTTCATTCCATAATGTTCCAGTCTGTGATGGCATTAAGTCACCCGCGCCCAGAAGGGATCTTGGCGAGGATGACTTTAAGTACCTGGAAGCATCTGTGATGCCCTCTCAGAGAGGGACTTGGCCAGAGTTGGAGAGATGCTGAATTTGGGGAGGATTCTGAACTGGGAGAAGTGGTTGATGGCAAGATACTGAGCCATTTCATCCCTACGGAAAATTCTCTTCTGTTGGCTTCCACCTACACATCCACTCCCGCCCCCTACCCCTTCTCTCTCTCTATCCTCCGTGCCCTCCAGCTAGTGTTTCTCCTTTGCACCAAAGGTGGAAAAGTTCACCAGGGTGATGTGCTGGGCATGGACCTTGGAGTGGTTCTCCAAGCTCGGTTCTTACAAGGACTTGTTTGGAGGCCTAACGTTTTATCTCGAAAAATGTTGTCACCTTTGTATCCCACTTCTTAACATACCCTTGTTTGTTGTAATATTTTTTAAAAAGAATGAGAAAAGCTTTAAATTACTCAAATGGACGGAATTTGATAATTCCAAGAAGTGCCGTAACTGTCCTGTCACATCCCCTCTGGTTTCCCCTGAGGGTGTCAGTCCCCCAGCCCAAGAAGCACAGCCTTAGTCTCTGTCCTGACAAGATAAGTCTCGTTAGTACACCTGACTCCAGAAGAGCAGAACGGAGGTTAACGCTGTGGGGGCGGTCAGCAAGGTGCACGTGGGGCCTTCCAGGGGATGCTCTGGTTTTCTGGCCTGTGTTTTGGCAACATGAGCATTTGTTTGTTTTCTCGTTATTCAGTAGACTCTGCACAATTTTATTTATCCTTCTTAAATCGTCAGTTCCATAAAGGCAAGGGCAATTTCTTGTCTGTTGTTCTTTCCTTCTGTGATGTAGACTTCGTGAGTGTGTGGGGAGCACCTGTTGTGATACAAGAGAATGGAAATGAGCGGATTATGATTCAGGATTTTCTCATGTGCTTTATTTCAAATCGTGAGTTTTACATTTGCCTTTCTGTTTTCATCAGACACAGGCTGTTCTGCGACAGGCCTGGCTTGAAAACATCCGCCCAGTTTTGGTGATCAATAAGATAGATCGCTTGATAGTGGAACTGAAATTGACCCCGCAGGAAGCCTATTCTCACCTCAAGAATATTTTAGAGCAGGTATCTCCTCCTTTACTTCAGGGTTTTAAAGACTGGGGCTCTAAGAAGACTTGGAAGGAAGCTGGTAGGTTGCCACAGAAGTTCGCGTCCTTAGGCTGAGGACTGCTGTGTCCTAGATCCTCGTACTACAGCAGAGACAGCGGGACTGGCCTCCCTTCAGGAGTCCCCTCCACCCCCCGGAAGCACCCTCGAGTACAAAGCTTGGGTAATAGGTTTTGAAGCTCTCTTGCTAAAAAGCTTATAGCTTTGTTCTAAAGTGAAGCCATGTTAGGAGGCTCCTTGGTTTTTTTTATGACCCGCCTTTAGGTGACATTTTGCCCAACCATTTATGTATTTGCCCAGCAGACATTTACATAACTATATGTTGAATAAATGAATTCTGGGATGTCCGTTGTGTGCTGGGGAGTGTGAATGTCCCGACAGGTCAGAGTCCCTGTCTTCAAAGATGTTGAGGTGTGGTGGGGAGACCTTTAAAGAGATCTTTCGAGAGCAGCGTGAAGCGTGGGTGTGGTTGGAAAACGTGAATGAGGGCTGCCTCACCCAGACCAGGTCAGAGGGAGGAGAGTTAGGAAGAGTCATGGGACAGAAGTCTTGAGATGGAAAAAGGTCGGGAGTAGTTAATGGCCGGGGCGTTTAGGAGAGAAGAAATAAGATATACAAAGTAAACGCAGGAAAAAGCATAGTAGGATGTTTCATTCAAAGAGCGCGTGTGACTTGCTGTTGCTGAAGAGTGGGATCATGGGAAGCAGGAGGCGGGAGTAGGAAGGAATATAGGGTTTCCATTATGGGGAACGTTGTGTGTCACACGTGGAGGTTTGGACTTTCTTCAGAACGGTGGGGTACCACTGATGAGACCAGTTGAGAAGAGTTATTTGCCAAAGGGAGGAAGGGATCAAAGTAGAGCAGCGAGAAAGCGTGGATCAATGGATGGATCTAATTCCCTACAGAATCAGACAAGGAAGGGCACCAGGGAGGCCGAAGGAGAGGGACCAGCGGTCTTTGCAGACAGACACGGGCTGGTCGGTTGGAATCCCGGGAGCTTACAGGATTTCTGAATAATAGGTTCCATCTTCTCTCTGTGGTAGGAAATAAGGTCACTTACTTGGGAGGGAAATAGCTAAGGATTGGCAGGAAGGAAAAGGGCCTGAGGAGAGTGGTGACAAGTCCAGGTGTGAGAACTGGCGAGGGAGCGGGCTCAGGCTCTGAACTAGGATCGTGGAGTCATGAGTTCCTAGTGACACCAGGCCCCATGTTGCGGACGCCACTCCCTCGGGTCATAAAACGACCTCACAGAAGCCATACAATTTAGTCTTGCTGGGTTTGCAAGGAACGGGTTGATAACAGGTTAATTATTGTTGTAAATATCAACTCCATCCATGGAGCCCAAACTGACTGATGGTTCTAGACAGCGCGTCTCCCACCACAGGTGTGCTAAGCATGTAGTGACACTCTGCCATTTTACGCTCTCTCCTAGATTAATGCACTCACAGGAACTCTTTTTACTTCTAAAGTCCTAGAAGAAAGAGCAGAGAGAGAGACTGAATCCCAAGTGAATCCAAGTTCTGACCCAGGAGAGCAAGTGTATGACTGGAGCACTGGCTTGGAGGACACGGATGACTCTCACCTCTACTTCTCTCCGGATCAGGGCAATGTGGTGTTTACGAGTGCAATAGACGGGTGGGGCTTCGGGTAAGTCTCTTCGGCTCTCCTTCGATCTCTCCGCGTGGACGGTGTATACGAGTGATTTCTTTAATGAAAGTTTTTATTGTTGAGATAATGATTGATTGAAACAGAGCTGTAAGAAAGAATAGAGTCCTCTTGTACCCTTTACCTAGTATCCCCCCAGCGGTAGCATCTTGCAAAGCTGGAGCACGATGTCACGGCCAGAATATTGACATTGATACTGTCCATCCCAGCGAAGATCCTTCCCTAATAAAGCCACCCTGCTTCCTTCACACCCCTGCTCCCCCTTAACCCCTGGAGTCACAGGTGTCTTCCGTTTGCATCATTTGTCATCTCGACAATGTTATAAAAACAATCACACATTATGTAACCTTTTCTGGATTGGCTTCTTTTCGGGCAGTGGAATTCTAGAGACGTAACTCAGTTGTTGCATGTATCAGCTGTTGGTTCCTTTCTGTGGCTGAGCAGTATTCCCTGGGGTGGGTGCTGTTCGAGCATGAACAACATCTGGGGTTTTCCCAGTTTGGGGCTGTTGTGAGTGACGCTACCACAAATGTTCACGTGTAGGTTTTTTTGTGAACGTAAGTTCTCATTTCTCCGGGATGAATGCATGGGAGTGTGCTTGCTGGGTCATATGGCAGTTGTAGGTTTAGTGTTGGTTTTCCAGAAGAGGCGCCATTTTACACCCCACCCACAGTGAGGTGATCTAGTCCCTCCACATTGTCACGGCTATTTAGTGGTGTCACTTTCTTTTAGCCATTCCGACAAGTGTGTATTGTGACGCTATTGTGGTCTTAATTGCATTTTCCTGACCGCTAGCACCGTGGAACATTGTGTCCTGTGCCCATTTGTCCTGTGTGTCCTCAGGTGAGACGTCTCTTCGTGTCCTTGCCTTATTTTCTTTCCTTTTCTCTTTCATTTTTCAGTGAGGTGTGTATGAATAGCATGCAACATTGTATTAGTTTCAAGTGTACAACAGAATGATTCCGTATTTGTATAGACTGTGAAATGACCACCACGATAAGTGTAGTTTTCCATACGCTGGTACAGAACGTTTGTTTCCTGTAGTAAGGATGTCGAAGATTGACTCTCTGAGCGGCTTTCAAATATGCTGTACTGTATTTAACTGTTCTCTCATGTGCTGTACACGACATCCTCTGAGCTAATGTGTTTTGTAAGTCAGCGTACCTTTTGACCCCCTTCACCCATTTCGTCCCCCACCTCTGCCTCTGGCAACCACCAGTCTGTTCCCCGTATCTAGGAGGCTCTTGTGTTGGTTTTGTTTTTTTGTTTTTTGATTCCACAGATTATATATATGATTATGTGGTATGATGCATATGATATTATATGTGTGTATATGATAGGATATATTATATATGATACACATCTTTATCCGTTCATCTCTTGATGGACACTTAGGTTGCTTCCATGTCTTAGCTATTGTAAATAATGTTGGCAGTGAACGGGGGGTTACATACGTCTTCTCAAGTTCTTTTTTTTTTTTCCCCCCAGATAAGTACCCAGAAGTAGAACTACCAAATCCTATGGTAGTTCTATTCTTCATTTTTCAGGGAGCCTCCATACTCTTTTCCATCCTGGCTGCACCAATTCCATCCCCACCAGCGGGGAACGAGGGTTGTCTGTGGCCACATCCTCGCCAACACTTGTTAGTCCTTATCTTTTTGATAGTGGCCATTCTGACAAATGTAGGGTGATATCTGGTTATGGTTGGATTGGCATTTCCCTAATGCTGAGTGATGTTGAGCATCTCGTGTCTGTGGGCCATCTGTACATCTTCTTTGGAAAAATGTCTCTTCAGTTCCTTTGCCCATTTTTAAATTGCATTCTTTGGTTTTTTTTGCTGTTGAGTTGTATGAGCCCTTTATATATTTTAGTTATTAATCCCTTTTCAGATATAGGATTTGGAAATATTTTCTCCCATCCCATAAATTGCCTTTTCATTTTATTGATGATCTCCTTTGCTGTGTAGTCCTTTTCTAATTGTATTGTTTGTTTTTTTTACTGTTGAATTTTGAGAGTTCTTTTTATCTTCTAGATACTAGTCCTTTGTCTCATATGTGTTTTTTTTTTTTTTTTTAAGATTTTATTTATTTGACAGACAGAGACACAGCGAGAGAGGGAACACAAGCAGGGGGAGCAGGAGAGGGAGAAGCAGGCTTCCCGCTGAGCAGGGAGCCCGATGCGGGGCTCCATCCCAGGACCCTGGGATCATGACCTGAGCCAAAGGCAGACGCTTAATGACTGAGCCACTCAGGCGCCCCTCATATGTGTTTTATAAATAGTTTCTTTTAGTCTATAGTTTGATGTTTCATCCTTTTAACAATGTCTTTCATAGAGCAGAATTTGGGTGGATTTATTTATTTTTACTTCAGAGAGAGAACCTTTGTGGGGAGGAGCAGAGGGAGAGAGAGAGAAACTCAAGCAGACTCCGGGCTGAGCACGGATCCCAGTGCGGGGCTCCATCTTACTACCCATGAGATCACCACCTGAGTTGAAACCAAGAGTCAGGTGCTTAACTGACTGCACCACCCAGGCGCCCCTATAAATTATGCTTTTAAAGTCAAATCTAAGAATCCCGCATGGCTAGGATTTTGTCTCCTGATGATTTTCTCTCATAGTTTTTTCTAAAAGATTAATAGTTTTACTTTCTACATTTAAGTCTGTGATCCATTCTGAGTTAATTTTCTGTATACGATGAGAGACTTGGGTCAAGGTTCTTTTTTGGGCTATAGATGTCCAGTTAGTCCAGCACCATTATACCTTCCCCACTGGATTGCTTGTATACCTTTGTCAAAATCCGTTGGACATCAGTTGGATACCTGTGTGGATCTACTTCTGAGTGTTCTGTTCTATTTCCTTGATCTGTGCGTCTATCCTTCCACCAGTACCATACAGTCTTGATTACTGTGAGTATCTAACAAGTCTTGAGAGTAGGTGGGTTGTTTCAGCCCACATTCCTGTTTTTGGAGATTATTTCAGCTGTTCAAGGGTCTGTGCCTCTCTGTGTACATTTTATTTTATTTTGTTTTTAAGATTTTATTTATTTATTTGACAAAGAACACAAGCAGGGGGAGCAGCAGAGGGAGAGGGAGAAGCAGGCTTCCCGCTGAGGAAGGAGCCTGACGCGGGGCTCGATCCCAGGACCCTGGGATCATGACCTGAGCTGAAGGCAGACGCTTAACGACTGAGCCACCCAGGGACCCCTCTATGTACATTTTATAATAATCTTTGCCTATATCTGCAAAAAAATGTTGCTAGGGTTTTTATTGAAAAAGTATTGGGGAAACTTCTATATCCATTTGAGAATTGACATCTTTGCTACATTTTACTTTCTAATCCATGAACACTGTGTTTCTCAATTTTTTAAAGATTTTCTTTGATTTCTTTCATTAACAGTTTGTAGTTTTCAACATAAAGCCCTGTATATATTATATTGGACTTGGACCTAATTTTTCATTGTTTCTGATCAATTAGAAATGGTATTATATTTTTAATTTTGGTGCTCACATATTCATTCCTACCTTTTGGAAATACAGTTTATTGGTTTTTGTATGTCGCTCTTGTATACCGTGACCTTGCTAAACTCACTCACTAGAGTTCTTTGTGGATTCCTTGGCATTTTCTACAAGGCAGGCCTGTCACCTGCCAACAGGGGCTGCTGTATTCCCTCCTTTACTTGCCACTTCCTTTCCCCTTCTGGCCTCACTGCTCTGCCAGGAGCTTTCAGGACTGTTAAAGAGCAGGGAGAGTGGGCATCCTGGCCTTGTTCTGATCTTAGAGGGAAGTACTGAGGCCTTCACCATTGAGTGTAAGGTTAGCTGTGGGTTATTTTTAAATGTTCTTTATCAATTTGAGGAAGTTCCCCTGTATTCCTTTTTTTCTCAGAGTCATTTTTATGAAGGGGTGTCAAATTTTGTCAAACGCTTTTTCTGCATCAGTTAATGTAATCATAGGATTTTTCTCCTTTAACTTGTTAATATAGTGGATTACATTGATTACTTTTTGAATCTTGAACCAGTCTTGCATTTCTTTATAGATTTTATGTAAAATGATTTGTTTAGAACTTTAATTTTGAATAAATTTAAAATTGAAAAGGTACAAAAATGTATCCCTGGGAGACCATGAAAAAAAGTCTCCCACCCTGTCTCCCTGTCTCTTAGGTTTTCATTTCATTTCCCTACAGGAAACTAGTGCATCCTGGCAGTTTCTTATATACTCTGGAGGTTATTTGTGTGTAATATGTGAGCAAATACATTTCTATTAACTTTTGCTGTCTGCACTAGCAGAAGCTAGTATGGAAAGAAGCTAACTTTATTCGGGTGTACCCATGCTAGGTGTTAAGCTAGTCACTTTGCTTAAATTATTTCATTGAGTTCTTAGGACAGTCCTTTTAAATAGATACTCTTATGAATTATCCAAGGCTCAGAGACATTCAGCAGATGTTGAACATCACTCAGCCACGAAGCAGAGGAGCTGATACTAAGTTTAAGGTCTGTTTGACACTGAAGTTTATGCTTCCTGACTGGGGCTTCAGTGGGCTCTCCACTCTGGGGTACAGGGACCCTTGTTTCTTCTGATGGCCCCTTCTGGATATGTACCTGTGGGCCATGGAATGTGACGTCAGTGTTTAGAATGTGGTGGGCATTTGATTTATGTTTCTGAACCACAACCATTACTGACTTGTGAAATCAGAAAATCCAAATACAATTAAAGAATTATCACTTTGTGAAAAATGTCTTGAGCTTGGATGAACGGTTGTGGGACTACAGTGGGATTTACTTAGTCGTGGGCTGAATCTTGCATATATAGCAGGGATAACAGAACCAGACATAATGCACCAGAGGAAAACAGAGCCTATTCTTGAAACATTTGTCAGTTTGCAAATGGGAAAGAAGAAGGGATCAGAAATTGAGCAGAGCGCATGGCCTGTGAGGAGCCCAACCGGTCTTGGCTGTTCTGTCCTCCTTTTTTTAAAGGAACTGGATCTTCACTCCCTTTGGACTGGACAGATTTTGCCTTGACAGGATAATAAATTATAATACCATCATTTTTCCTTGTTGGTTTGTCATCAGTTATAAAGACCATAGTCCACTTAGTGCCTGTGAAGGTCATACTGAAAGTCAGAGAGCGGACATATAATGAAAATAGAAACTACCAACCTGCAGAGAATATGCCCATTTTCCGCGTGGCTGATGACGCCATTGTCACCATTTTGGGCCTCAGTGTCCTCACCTGAACACTAAGAATGTTGGGCTTAGATGATTTCTGAGAATTTCTTTGAATTACAAAGTACAGTGATTCATTCCGTCATATAACCGGGTCAGGCCCATTAGTTTCCTAACCTGTCAGCATTTTGCTCATGAGCCACAGGGTTGGGGGCTCGTCCTTTGCTTGGAATGATTTCTAGAAATCATTGAACATTCCAGGTGAATTTTAGTTTGAATCTCAGAAATTGGTGTCAGCTTATTGTAGAAGGAGAAGGGATGGGGAGAGGCTTGCACGGATGGCTTTGGGATCCTCACAACCCTGGACACTTGGACGTGCTGTCAGTCAGCGAGTGAGTGCCCTGCGTTAAGCAAGGTCGCATTTAGGGTCCATGTCCAACAGTGCCTGTTGTCGACAAGTGGACATGTTCATTTATGGGGAGCTGATGGGAACAAAAGCACTAGAAGTGCTTTTCTGCCGGCCTCCCTCTGATGGGTCATGATTAGGGAAAGGGGGCAACTCCTGTGTCCCAAAAGGTGGGAAAGGAGCACATTTCAGAATTTGGAGGGTGGTTGAAACTCTCACCGGGGGACAGGATGAAGGAGTGTGACATGAGGCTGAACCGGGGCATTACGGCCTCAGTCTGTCCTGTTGCAGATGTGAATCCGGGAGAATCTGCTGAGTTGGATAGGTCAGAGTCCAGCTCTGGTTGTAGGTAAGTGCAGCTGAGTTCTCAACCCTATAAAAGAGGGACAGGAGTCCTCCCTAGAGCAGTTCTGTTGGTCTTTGTACACCAGCGTTTTCGGCTCCTGCCGTTGATGTCCGCCCGCTGGGCGGCTTGGATGCACAAGGATACCCCATAACCTCCCGCTTGGCCACATTGTCGTTCGGGAAGATAGGCCAGGATGGATGGGTCAGTAGGTCTGCAGGTCTTTCTGAGAATCCCGTTTGAAGGTACTCTGTGGAGGAAGTGAATTAAAACAGAATCCAAGAACGGAGAAATTGTCATAGTTTTAAAATTAAAACTAACTAATGACAGACAAAAAGCATGAAGCAATAGTGGGGGGGAAGGGTTGATGTTAAGCAAGTTTTATGGTAACTATGGGATGAAAAAGAATGGAAAGGATAAAAACCAAGATTTTGGAAAATTTCTGTGCCTATCACTTATGATTCTGATAGAGGTTTGAGTGTGGAAACCTCTAAGTTTACCACTTACCAAATTAAAAACAGGACATGTATCTGACACAGTGTTGTATAAGACCAAGAAAATACAAAAGTCTGGGTACCACAAATCAACATTTAAAAAAAAATCTTGGAAGCATGAGCAGAAATCATTCTAGAAATCCACATTTCCAGAACAGTTGCAGTACTTAATGCATGAAATACCCCATGGAGGAGATAGCTTTTTAGAAGAAGGAAATTCCATTAAAAAAAAAAAAAATCCAAAGGTTTGCTATCTAAAAAGATAAACAGAAAGCATAATAGCTGGGGGTTAAGTACCAAAGCTTTGGCTCAGTATGTCAGTCAAATGTGAGCAAAAAGAAAGTCAGTTTGGCAGTATTGATGAACAATGCAGAATTTTTAGAAATATATTGTGGTATAAGAATCCTTGTTAATGGGTAATGGACAGAGATTAACTCTATCGGTGATCCTAACAAAGTGCATGAGGCAAAAATAGAAGTATAAGTAGAAATCTGCATGGTTTGGGGAAGATTTTATATCAGACTGTTAACAGGTCAAATAAAAACATAAACCATCTGAACAGTATAATTAAAGTCAGAATTTAAGTATATAAATGAAGGATATACAAAATAAGTGAAGGATATACAAAATAAGTGAAGGATATACAAAAATTGGTCTTATCTCAGGCAAAAAAAGGCAATTTCAAAAAATACAAAATACGAAAATATTGGAAGTTTGATGTGCTGATCACTTGGTCATTACCTTCAGTTTTAGCCATGTAAGAATAGACCCAACTTAACCATATGTCACCCAAAGCGTCTGCTGTATTCATTGGGGCCCTCACAAGCATCCAGGTGAAGGTGAGGCTTCTCAAGTAAGGTTGGGTTGGAGAATGTGCCTGGGACCTCCGGCCACAGTGCTTGCCCTCTCTTGTCCCCCTCCCATAGGTCCTGGAATGGATCTGCAAGTCTGCATGGAGGATGGCACCGTGCCTGGCAGAACCAGGGGGTTAGAAGTAGGAGCCGCGGGCAGATGCGGTCTGCTGATTCGCATCTGGAAGGGAGCCTCTGTGCCTTGCTCTGGGCGTGCTTCACTGCAAGAAGCCCAGGAGGACGCCCGGCTCTCTTTACTGGTTCCTGGAGCACGCAGCAAGGGTCTATTTCTTCCTTGAGGCATGGGCACTGCGCAACCGGCCATTGAGCTCACTTGTGGAGTAGCCACTGGAGCGGGAGGGAGACCGGTCGTGCTCCTGTCAGCCCTCCAAGGCAGAAGCTGTCGGTCTGTGGACTGAGCTGAGAATTTGTGCAGAGAAGGGATCGCTCCTTCAAAAATGTGGCAGTTATAAGTTAATCATAGTGTAATGTATGTAGAAAGCATATATAATTTATATGTATAATAAACATAAAATTGTAATAGAAACTAAAATTTTGGAAAATTAAAAAAAACAAGCCCACCTGAGCAAATCATTGTGGGATCAAACGGGAAATGCAGCTGATAACAGCGAGTCGCTCTGAGGTCCTGGCCTCTCGAGGCCGGCCCCGGGATGCCAGTAGCCTGTAACTGCAGAATTGGGGCTTTGATTCCTGGTTGGGTGTTTCCTCTCCCTTCATCCTCAGTGAGAGGGGACGCTGGGACCTCCGGCACCTTCCGTGGGGCCTGCTTTGGTGCTGAGCTGCAGCCTGCTGTCCACGTCTCTGCTTCCCACCACAGCGATGAACTTGCAGGGCTCTGGCAGCTTCCTCTTGCTCCCACCAGGCTTTGTAGCCGTGAGAATACCAGCTCATCGGACGGGGTCGTAGTTAGCCCTGGATTCGGGCCATACCACCCTTGCCGACTGAGAGCTAAGAACTTGCCCGGAGTACGTTACCTTTGGCGTCTATGCAGCGGACAAGACAGCAGGCATCTTCCCAGACGCTGGTGCTTTGAGAGGTGGACTCACACCTTACGTGAAACATGCTCATCCCTGCAAAGGGAGGTTTTTCCTGGGTCCTCGGTCCTGACGGCACAGATGCTACCTGCCACATGCCGACGTGCCAGGTGACCGTTGTCCCGTGCCTGGGGCTTGCAGTACAGCGGACTGGCGCTAGCCGGGTTCTCTCCAGGTGTGCGGACGTTTCCTGTGGAATCCAGGAGGCCAAGAAGCCTTTTTCTGGCAGGCCCTGGCTCTGGCGTTTTTTCCTGTGTGAGCACCAGGTCCCTATAGCAGTGACAGGCTGAAACGAAGTTTCTTGCTGGCGAGTTGTGTAGGGCCGTTGGAACCTGCATCTCCTTGGCCCTTGTTCCCCTTGCCTCGTTGTGCACATGCAGAGTCAAGGAAGGGAGCGATGGCATGGATTCTAATCCGTAGGAACGTAGAGCCGTTGGGCAAGAGCATGCATGGGCTCCGGAGCCGGACTGCCTGGGTTTGGTCCCAGCCTCCCGTGTTACCTACGTAATATCTCGATGTGTGTAGCTTTTTCTGGATCCTGGGGAGGTAATGAGTGCCAGCCCTTCGGATGGTTGAAACGATGGCGTCTAGTAGTGCGTTCAGAGCACTCTGAACGGTACCTGGCACGGAAACACTCTTACTTACTGTTGTTACTCGTAACACCAACACTTGCTTTTCTTTCAGAGTTGAGCACTTTGCCAAAATCTACAGTCAAAAAATCGGCATCAAAAAGGAAGTTCTTTTGAAAACCTTGTGGGGAGATTATTACATCAATATGAAGGCCAAGAAGATTATGAAGGTGGATCAGGTGATGTGGCAATATGTCCCTTTTGTGTGTCACTCACATTCCCGCCCCGTTCAGACTTGTAGCACCTTTCATAGATGTAATTTGGCTCTGGCTAAAGTGGGTCAGTTTGTGAGGGGTTCACGGTCGTGTGTTTTACTTCCAAGTATTGCTTAAATGGAGTTCTTTAAATAAGAGAGTAAGGAACTGCTTTTTGTTCGTTTCTTCTTTCTTTTTTTGAGAGGAGCAAAAATCTCAGACCCTGTGCACTTGAAGACACGTGTTTTGCATCCTGCTTTTGTGTCCCTTTCACCATAAAGAGACGGCTCTTTCCGAGCACGCTGTGTTCCTAGGCTCAGCTCAGGCTTCTCTCACTGAAAGCTGCTCACCAGGCCTGCTGTTGATGGTTTTTTTTCATGTAAAATTCAGGATTTTATAAACTTATTCTCATGGAGAAGCATATAGATTCCTTTTAGAAAATATTTGTAAATATAAAGCCATAAGAGAAAAAAAGAAGAGAAGCCAACGCTGCTGATGCTGTGGTTTTAATTTTTTTCACTTTTAGGATCGAGACGTCCATCCCTTAGTTGAGCTTATACTGTTTATATACTAACGTAACTCTTTTTTTGCTTGACATCATGTCGTGAGCATCTTCCTTTGCCATTAAAAGCCTTTCAAAAAGCTCCTTAAGAAGGAGCCGGTGTAGCGAGATGGCAAAGAGCCGGGCTGAGAGTCCGAGTGTGTGTGTGCATCGTGGCCTTTGTCCCCTTCTTCCACCTGTAACCGGGCAATAGTTGGAAAGGGGGCGCCCATGTATATTCCGTCTCACATGCGTGTGACGGTTTCCTTCTCAAGGTGCTGTTACTTTGCATATGGTTTGGTCAGAGAAATGGTAGGGTTTTTTTGTTTTTTTACTATCCTCTTCCTTGAAGTTGAACGGTTTTCATGTTTAAGAACATTGTTTAGAAGAAGTCTGCGGAAGGGACCTGCACACGCAGCGTGACTTCTTAGCGCTCAGCCTGGGTGTCGTGTACCCCTTTGATGGCAGAGGTGGGGCAGTTGCAGCGACACGCCCCGCAGTTGGTCTCGTTTGTCACAACCCTGGCTCCCAGAGGAAGACAGCAGTGGTTTGTTACCAACTGCACCTTATTGGCTGTTGAGCGAATTCTTTACAACCATTTCCCACGACTTTACTGTTCAGTAAACATTTTCTGGTAGAAATGAGACATACTGTTCACAGAACACGTCAAGGGTGAATATGTAAGGTACCTGTTAAATATTCAGAAAGTTAAGTGCACATGTTCTGTTTTACAGGCAAAAGGAAAGAAACCTTTATTTGTGCAGCTGATCCTGGAGAATATATGGAGTTTGTATGATGCCGTCTTGAAAAAGTAAGACTGCCATAAAATTGTTTGTCTTTGGGCTGTATAATGCCTCACCTTCCCGTGTGATGAGTCATGCTTCAGAAAGCGGAGACAGACTCAGGAAGTGAACAGAGCTTTGCAGACCTGGAAACAGTGGAAAGGAGTTTATGTAACCTTGGTCAAGGGTAGCAGGAGGGACAGCACTGAGGGTTTTAGAGTGCCCAGAGAAGGGGACAGACGGATGGACAGAAGCACTGGATCTTTATTTTTACAGACCCAGCTTAAATAAAACAGTTAATGCAGTAGAAAGGGTGTTGGATATCCAGTATCATTAATGGGGAACTTGGGAACACCCTTGCCTGATACAAGTGGAAAAGAAAGTTTGCTTCAGTAAATTTACTTTCAAAGTTATTCCAGAGTTGGAGCCATGACTGTGAGCACTCAGAGGTCAGGCTGCTTCACCCGTCACCGCAACTCACCTCAGGGGCCTGGGATGGTGCCCCCTCGGAGCCCGGCAGGAGGGGGCCCCGGAAAGGGAGGGAGTGGAGGCCCTGGCGGGAGCCCCCCCAGACATGTTCAGTTTCTTGTAGAGGAGGTACATTGGGAGTAAGTGTGTCGAAAAATGTGGAGCTCCTTCTCCCGTCTGCCCCTTCCTGTCTTGTGTGTGACCTCCCCGCTTTGTATGCTTACTACAGGGACAGAGAAAAAATTGATAAAATAGTGACTTCCTTAGGATTGAAAATTGGAGCCCGGGAGGCACGACATTCAGACCCTAAAGTTCAGATCAATGCCATCTGCAGCCAGTGGCTGCCCATCTCCCATGCTGTGCTGGGTATCCTTTGTCTTGATGGTTTGTAATGAAATAACAGTTCAGACAAAGCAGGAGGAAACAGCATGTTACTGGCAATCAGGAAATCCTCTGGAGAGAACATATTTCCACCCAAAGTAAGTCTTCTGTGGTTGATTAGTATTCTACCCTGAAACTGTATTCACTGCTTTTACAAATGAACATTCTGATACTCATTCGTGGTCTTACTGATACCAATTCAGATACATGTTCTTTCAAGAAAGAAGATGCATCTTTTTATTTTTGTTCAGTAGTCTGTAAAAACAAAAGATTTTATTTTACTAAGATTTATGTGTAAGTCGATAATTTAGATGGTTATGTTGGATCAGGGTTTCATTTCAGTGCCATATTTTCTTAGCTGGTTGATATTTCCTATCATCTTTGTGATTCCCAGAGAACTTGATCGGAGATGGTTCACATTTAGATAATTTTATAGGCGACTTTAAACCGTCTTCTTTTCATTGACGTGTGTGTCCCACGCAGTCCCCGCGTGGCGGGCTGTGGGCGCAGTGTCCTGGGTGTGGGCCTGCAGTGGCATCTCAGCCCTACAGTGACGGGCTCTGGTAGGGGACGTCCTGGTACCCTTGCTAGTGGCTCATGGTCGTTTTATAGGAATTGAGATAGACCAGAACTGTGGGAAAAAGTGGGAGCACTGAGGGTCTCAGGAGGCCAAGCTACTAAGCAGTGCCGTGCTCTCTTGTGCCCTGAGCCATCAACGTCCCGGAATATCTGTGGTAGGGGTCCTTCCTGGGCTCCAGCGAGTCCCTGAACTCCCTGAAAGCATGTCTGTATTGTGAGATGTGGTGCATAGTGTTTCCCAGCCCGGGTGTTTTCTGTAGAGACCGACACTGTCACCTCGGTATTTAGTGCGCCCTGGGAATCTCTTGCCTTGCTGGAGGGCACGTGTTCGAGGTTGTGAGTCCTTAACAGCAGACGTCAGCAATGGTGTGTCAGAAGCTTCCCAGCCCCCTGGATATGACAGCTGAGAGGGTGGAGAGACTGATGTGCACAGGATCACAGACGTTCGACTCTCTTCTGCCCGAAACCCAGGCCCTGAAAGCAGGTGAAGTGAAGGGGACCTCAGCAGGGGCCGTAGTTTGGACCGTCCTAAGTCAAGGCTGCTCTAGACCAGTTTGCCAAATGCCAGTTTACAAAAGGCCATTTGGCCAGAGTTTTAGTGTTGCTAGAGCTGTTTTGTTCGCCACTGGAGTGGGAGACCAGAGGCTCTGAGCCCCCTCCCTTCTGCTCTGATCTCGTCTCAGAAGCTCCCAGTGACCTTGTGTCCCAGCCCCTGCACGGCCAAGAATGTGTCCCTGAGCTGCTGTGTCAGCACCGTGGCCGGGTCCCTGGGGACCGTGGAAAGGGGTTCTGGGGCTGGGCTGCCCACTGCTCCCCACAAGAGGGGACCCGTCCACTCCAGGCTCTGCAAGCCTCCATGAACTTCATCTGCATGTACTCACCATCTCCGCTTTTCCTCCCGTTCTGTTGAATTTGCAACCTCCATCCCCAAAACCACTTGGCTGCGGTTCCCAGGGCCCCTGTTGACTGTCCTTTGTTAAATCATCCGACTAGATCTGTCACTAGCATTGGCCACAGCATTCCTCCCTGGCTCCTCTCCTGGCTGCGCATTCCTCGTGTCTGTTCCTCGTCCCTCTCTCTCCCTTTCGTCTCTCTGTCACTGTGGGCGGACCCGAGCAGGGCCTGCATTCCCTCTCCTGGCCATGTCACCCATCTCAAGGCTTGCCATGGCAGCAGTCTGCTCATGACTCCCACACCCGTGTCTCTGAGCCTGTCTGCCCCTTCAGCTCCAGCCTCGAGTCTGCCGCACCTCCCTCTGCTCGGCTTTCTGAGAAGCACCTGTACCCTAACATACCCCCCCGCCAGGCTTCTTCCCTTCTCCCTCAACCTGCTTCTCCTGGTTCTCCTCAGTCAGAGGAGACTCTGTCCCTTCATTTGCTCACTCCAAAAAGCTCGGAGTCGTCCGTGTTCCTGTTCACTCACACCCCTGCATCCAATCCGTTTGCACATCCTGCGTGTTCTTGCCTCGAAATCTACGCAGAATTCGGCTTTTGCTAGCATTTCTGCTTCTGCGTCCTGGGGCCAAGCCACCATGGTCTCTCACCTGAGTGTCAGTACAGCCTTTCACCAAGTGCCCACCTCTGCTCTCCGTTTCCCTTGGTACAGCCAGAGTGGTCCCAGGACAGTGGGAGTCCGGGCAGGCCACACTGCTCCTCACCCCTTGTACCCACGTCCCTGGCAAGATGTCTGCTGTGCCCTTGCTTCTGACTTCCTGTTGTGTTGCTCTTGTTTCAATATTACTGTTGAATTCTTTCATTTATGTGCACATTATTTTGGTGGGGGGGGGTGATTTTTTAAGGAAAAAACAAAACAAAAAACCAGAAACACTCATGACTGGTGTATATACCTCCAGGAAGGTGAAGAAAAATGTCAACATGTTGATGTGAAATTGTGTTAGTATATATAGATTTAGGGAAAATTGACATCTTTATAATATTGAGTCTTATTTTTAAGTATTTTGTTACTGGCATGATAAGGTATTCTTGTCCATTTTTTAACTTGTGTCACTTGTATGTATTTGATTAATAAGCTGCCTTGCTGACTGTTGACTTAGCATGTCTCAGTTTTACCCCTTCTGCTCTGGATATCGGGCAGGATCTCTGAGGGCTTATGGGGGGGTAAGCCCCGTTTGCGGCTTCAGTACCCAGCCCTCCTCCTGCCCTGCTCATTTTGCCTTTCTTTCCCCATTTGGGCCAGTTCCGCTTGTTCTTGCTCTGCAGTGTTCTAGCGATTTTATACTTTTCTAAAGAGAACTTTATCGTGGTTGTAAAAGATTACAGGCCGCTTATGTGTTGAGGTGACACCGTGTTCTAAACATCTTGTGTTTTAGAAGTCTGCCTGTCTGGTCATGGGAAAAGCGAGTGACCTTTTTCCTTCCTATTTGTGTAGCTTTCATGAAATGTGGAAGCGAGGACACTGCTCCAGTTATTATCTTTGTTTCCAAAATGTTCGCCGTCGATGCCAAGGCCCTGCCCCAGAATAAGCCCAGGTAAGGGTGGGGGGGTTGGGCCGGGCCAGGGAAATGGTGTGTGTTTGGTGGGGGTGCAGAAGCGGTGTGGATGGGAGTGTGCAGACAACGCTTTTCTCCTCACACCGGGATGGGTGCAGGGCACCCCGTGGTGGCGGATGCTGTGCACAGCGCAGTCTTTCTGTCCTCTGGGGGAGAGAGTTGTTGAAATCAGCTCCAGGACGATTGATTTGAGTTGATGTAAATTCAAGGAGAAGAGTAATAGGAGTAGCCACAGTTCATTTGTATTGAGCATCCGGCACGTTCTTCTGCAAGCCTGCCTTGCCGACCTCAGTGGAGACTTAGGACCGTGTGAGCATGTCTGCTGATGGGTGTGGGTTGGGGTGGGGCCGGGTGCCTCTGGGAGATGGGTTATTTCTCATGTTTCCCGTGTCTCGGAGAATCTCTTCTCCATCATCTGGGTTTTCCATGTGTGTTCCCCTCCTCGGCTCCACTGCCTCCCCCTTCAGATCCCGATCGGTTCCTGCAGGAATTACAGCTGCAGCCTCCTGGCTGGTCCCTCTGCCCGGGCTCTGGCTTTGCCAATCCGTGTGCCGTCCATCCTACGCTGGGATCTGGAATGAAAACTTGATGTGGGTGCCTCGAACTCCTCTTCTGTAGGACCCACATCTACTCTGGATGTTCTTCATAAGGATTTTTTGAGTAACCCGAGAGAAATAATGTAAATAATACTTAAGAATGTCCGGTACCTCGGGAGCATCTTAAGTCTTATTCTTCTGTCTTATGAAGAATAACGGCGGTGACACCACTGGCTGCCATCCGCGGAGCTCAGACAGTATTCGTTTCTCCGCGTCCGTGGGCCGTTGAGATCTGACAGCACTTCCTGAGTGGGAAGTAGTCAGGGCTTCAGTTTTGCCTGTGACGGAAAAAGTAAGTTAGGGGCTCCAGGTCACGGAGCTGGAAGGAGGCCACCAGTGTTCGAACCCGGGTCTTGTCCATTCACAGCGTGGAACCTGGCCTTGTTCGTCCAGTGTGGCTTGTCTTTCATTTTCTCTTTTCATTTTTCCAGCTTTTACATTTGAGTTTATTCTTCATTTAACTTTGAAAACAGCACTATCATTGAATATTGAAACAAAAGCAGTAGGGAGGGGCGCCTGGGTGGCTCAGTCGGTTAAGCGTCTGCTGTCGGCTCAGGTCATGATCTCCGGGTCCTGGGATTGAGCCCCGCGTCGGGCTCCCTGCTTGGCGGGGATTCTGCTTCTCCCTCTGCTGCTCCCCCTGCTTGCGCTCTCTCTCTCTCTCTCTCTCTGTCGGATAATAGCAGTAGTGAGTCAGGAGCTCTGATTATAGCCCTCATGCAGCCACTGCATATAAAGGGCCAGCATGAGGGTCATTCCGCGGTCCCAGTGAGAGTTCTGATGCTGAGCACTGTCCCAGGATGACGCGCGTCAGCCTCATGCGTGTGTCTATTGTAACGGTGGCAACAAGGCCTCCGAGTCTGACTGCCCCATTTCTTTGGTCTTGTCTACTTCCTTCCTCTCAGGTAGGAGTTTTTCCAGCAAAGAGTGTTTATCAGGAGAAAGAAAGCCATTCTCAGGAAAGTTTACCTTAAATCCAGTGACTAGGCAACCCTTTCCACGTGGTCTACGATGAAAGGGCATGACTTCATTTAGCACACACGGGACATGTCCGTGCTTGACAGTCTGGCCTGGGTGAGGGGTGATGTCTGTGGTTCGGTCGTCGGGAGCAGGGACTGGCCTTGAAAGCGCACAGTGCGTCAGCCAGCTGTGTGTCCACCCACACGGCAAGGCCTCCTCGCCAAGTAAAATCAGCACGGTCCTTCTGATAGCATCAGAAACAGCGGTAGTACCTCCTGGCTGCACTCCTGGTTCTTGGTCTCCTTCACCTGGAATGTTCTCTTCTGACCACCTTTCATAACTTGGTCAATGTGAACTTCTGGAATCTTCCAGTGCAGCTTTTCCATCTGTCTTTAGCACTGACCCGTCCCCGTGGCCCTGGCACTCTACGCACAGACCGAATTTGCTGAGCCGCTCCAGGTTCCACCTTAGGAATTCTTCCTTGCAGTTCCATGCCTCTGCCCTCAGGACAGCACGCCGCCACTCTGCCTTACCTCCCCGGCCCTCGTGTTTGCTCTTGGGCAGAGCTCGTTTTCCTGTTGCACCATTGTGTCAGCCCCCCAAGGTTACTGAGAGCTGATGCACAACATTTTCACCGCTCCTTTCTCTCTGCTCCTTCCTCGTCCTCCAAAAGGCATTGCAGAGATGTCCCTGGGGGAGCACACTGCCACCAGCTCCGCCTTCTTTACTTGCCTCTCCTCCTTTGTCATATTCTCCCCCTCTGTCCCTTTTCTTTGCATCACAGAGCACTTTGTGAGCTTGAGAAATCTGTTTAAACTTCTTCATTTGGATTCATACCAGGGTATCAGGGTGGTGCTCCAGGGCCAGTTCTTCCTGGTGGAGTTGGGTTTGTCCCCCAGACATAGTCAGTGGTTTCTTTCACCGTTTTGTACAGCCGGTGAGCGGGCGCGGGCCAGCGTGGAACAGCTGCTGCTCCTCGGCTTCTCACTGAGTGTTCTGGGAAGTTCCACCCGGTGTGGCTTTCCAGCGCCTACCCCTAAATCTAGGCCAGCAGCCATCCCACCTTTTAGATTCAGGGCCTTTGTTTTTGCTGTTCTCAACTATAGTTTATGACAAATCCTTAGGAGTATGTATTTGGTCTAACTGCCTGTTAGGGAACATTTTATGGAGAGTTTTCAGGCAGCTCTCTTCCCCCTGCGTCTCCGGGTCTGTGCGTTGCTTTTGCTTCCTTCTTGAGAACCAGCTCCTTCTAGTAACAAGATGCTGTCTTCCCACAGAAGGCACTTTTCTGGGTCTGTCGCTTTGCACCATCCCCGCTGTGTCTGGTGGCAGGCTGCGCCAGCCTTCCACCTGTTCTGCACCGAGCAGAGCGTAGGCATTCTGCCTGGAATCCGGAGGCTGGATGGATGTGCGTCCTCGCCTCTTCTCCTTCCCCTCCTCATTCACCTCCCCAGCCTTCCAGTCAACATACTCACCTCTGGTCTCCTTTATCTCTGGTGCAGGAAGTGTTAGTTTAACTACAGCCTGAAGAACTCATCACCCACAGCTGTGCCTTGGCTGGTAGAGCTCTGTTTTCTTGTAGATCAGTCCTCTTCATTCTCCACAAACGCGGGGTTCGCAGTGGGTACCTCGTATAAATCCTTGTGATTTCTGTCTGGCTGGCTGCTCCGTTTCCCTGTGCCACCACCCCCAGCCCACAGCAGTGCCGGGCACGGGGGGGGCGTTCCCTGGGTGGGTGGATGAGTGCTAGACGGGCAGCAAGGCTCATTACAGCTGATGCTAACCTGATGAATAGAAATGCTAACTTATTCCAGACCATGTCATGAATTTACGCCGAATGAGGATGTAATTTATGTTAATAAATATCTATCTTTCTTAACCAAAGTTAAAATGATTTACTTAATGTGATGATGATTTTATCATCTTTAATTCCTTCTCAGTGGGGGACATCCTGGGGATAATGAACAAAGGTTTGGAGTCAGATCTGGATTTGAGTTTTGGCTCCTCCATTTATTTTCCAGTGACTTTGGGTCAGGTTAAATTTCCTAAGCCTCTGCTTTGTCATCGTAAAATAGGGATGATAGTATCTATTTCATTTAACTGTTGTAGTAAGTATATACTATAATTACGTAAAGTGATGAAGATTAAGACGATGTCGAGATCCTAGTGATAAGCCCATTGAAAGAGACTTTCTCTTCATATGCAGACAAGTCTCATTTTTTTTTCTTCCCTGTTCTAACGATAATATTACATCCTGCATTTATAGTTTAACTTGCACTTTTCAGATATTCTTGAAGCAGTTTTAGCAAAAGTCTAGATACACGGGGTTGATTGAAGGGGGAGGTGGAGTGTTGGGCCTGGAGCAGAGCAGGGTGAGGGCAAGGGCCCGAGCGCAGGCCATTGCAAGGAGAGGGAGAAGTGGATTTGTTCGCTGTTGATCCAGAGCACAGACCTGCAGCCGTGGTGAGAAATTTCAAGGAAGCAGATTTCATCCCATACTTGAAAGGGCTTCTAATGCTTGGAGTTTCCAGGAGAGGGGAGCTGGTCTCTTGCAGGGGAAGTAGATGCCTCCAGCACCAGCAGTGTTGGTTGCCTCACGGCACCTGGCCAAGCTGTTCTCAAAGATCAGTCTCTCAGGTTCCTGTGTCCTGGGACACAGCCCCCCGGTGACCTGGGTGTGACTAGAGGGGACAGCTCCGAGAAACGAGCTCATCCGTTTTGGGGGGCAGGTGCCAAGGGAGGTAGAATTGGTGTCCGGTCCTGGTGGGAGGCCTTGTCTAGCGTTTCTCTCTCTGGCACCCGACCCCGGGTGGAGTCTCCCAACCCAGCAGATCCCTGCGGTGCCCTCCCGCGTGGCTCCTCCCGGGGGAGGAAGGTGAGTCTCCCCAGATCTGCCGCTTGTTGGGTCCCTGCTGGAGGAGCAGTGGCCCGACTGTGCCGCGGATCACGGTTTATGGCCACCCCGAGCTGAGGGCCCGCGCCTGGGCTCCGCCTCTGCAGCCGGCTTCCCCGCTCCGTTACCTGGGAGCTCTGCCACACTCAGGCACCCCCGGTCTTTCTGTGACCCCGAGGGTCCTGAGACCACACTGTCCCGGAGGGTTCCACCCCCCGCTTGGCCACCAGAGTGACGTCCCTCGCGGAGCAGACTTTTAAAAGTTCCGATTTTGTGCTCCGCGGCTCTATCACTTGGCAGAAGCGGCCGACGGAGGCCCCTCCCCCGCTGCCTATCCTCCCGAATATCGCCGCGGATTCACTTCTCCGCACGTCCTTCCTTCCAGAAAGTGGTCGCTTTTCTGATGAGAGAGTTGTTGCTCTTCTTTTCTTCGATCTCCTGTTGCGTTTGTAGGTGTTCAGAATGGTTTGATCCCTATCCAGCTGAATTCCTGAGACCAGACGAAATCCAGGTCTCCTACTCCTCCGCCATCTTGCTCCACCCCTTGAGGATAACTGTTTAGGAAGAACGGCTGAATCCCCTACCCCACTCCAACCAAGACTAACCCCCCTGCAAACACACAGACACACCCACACTCTGCCTTTTCTGTGGTGGTGCTGGGGTCTAACACCATGTGACCTTTCACTCCCACTGAGTCGCCATCATTCAGCCTGACCTTGAACCCTTCCTCTTGGACCCCGGGTCTTCATGAAGATATATGTTTGTGCTTGTGGAGAAAACCTCCATTTCCTATTGAGGTCTTATGCTTGCTTCTCCACGGGGCTGCTCTGTGCCCTGGTATCGGCCACTCGTTTCCCTCCCTTCCCTTTTGGTCGCCTCATCCAGAAGGAATGTGGGCATTCCAGAAAGGCTCCATGCTGTTGTAGATGGCTCTCTTTGGGGACATGGGCTCTCTTATGCCGCTCCAGAAGCTCAGAATAGCTGGGGACAGAGCGTTTTAGAGAAAGCCTGGAAGGGACCTGGGACCCATCATTGTCTTATCCAGCCACGTTAATTGTTGCCGTTTCCCTGCTCCAACGACTGAGAGATGCTTGATGTTGCCAGAAGTAAACATATCTGTGATCTCCTGTAGACCTCTCACTCAGGAAGAAATTGCTCAGAGGCGAGAGTGTGCAAGACAGAGGCATGCAGAGAAGCTCGCAGCAACGCAGGGGCAGGCACGCACGGAGCCCCCCCGGGACGGGAGTGCCCTTGACACAAATCCAAAGGGAGAGGAGACCAAAGGTACAGCTTTCCTAACTGGGTTTTCGTGCACAGTACTGATTTATTGGGCATTCACTTAGCTTAGGACACTTCCTCTAGCTCTTGAGCTTGCCTCTAAGCGTAGCTTTTATCAGTATTCCGTTGCTCTTGGTGTTTCTTCCCTAAAACTGGGCCAAATGGATCATATTCACTGTTCCCTCTATTTCTAGGTGCATCCTGGATTAGAGAGAGCGTTGTTGGCACTCATTATCCTTTTGTTTCCGGCAGGTGATGAGCATCAGGTGGAGAGTATGGCCCTTAAATCTCTGCCCCAGGAACGAAACAACGAAGAGTCTTTTATTGCATTTGCTCGCGTGTTCAGTGGTGTGGCTCGAAGAGGAAAGAAAATTTTTGTCCTGGGGCCCAAATACAGTCCTGTTGAGTTTTTGCGGCAGGTAAGAATTGGAAGTAAAACATTAGTATATCGTTCCAGGGTTCTTACATCTTTTCAGATTGAGATTTACCTTACTGGTAGATTTATTTTGTCACTAGATAGGCACATTCAGATGACTCCCATGTACCTCCTCTTATGTTGCTTTGGGGACATTTGGTAAATCTGTCTCACTTAGTAGCATTTGGAAAACTAAACCAGTATATGAACTCAGTTTTCAGGCCTTATCTAATTAATTACAAGGCTTTTCAAGACCAGAGAAAAGAACTGGTAGGAAGAGCTGCCATGCTGGAGCCAGGGCAATGGCAGGTCTTCAGGAAATACGGAGATCCAAAAACTGGGTGGCACAGGCCAAAGGCCTGGGCAGAAAGCAGGTGACAGGCCACGGTTGCATGGTAGGTGGATCCCAGAAGTCGATCAGGAAGGTCTGGAAGCAGGTGAACAGCCAGCATCTAAATACACCTGAGCCAAAGGGCAAGAAAGAAACCACAGGCTGCAGCTACCTCAGCATGTTGGGACATAGGCAAGGTATGTACGTAATAGTTACATGACAATGGTCATTGGATGATGGAGGTGCCAGAAGTCCAGGGAGTGAGTCACAATCAGCAAGAAGCGGTGAATAAGAACTTGGAAGACATGCTGTGTCCCAAGCAGGAGAGCACGAGCTCCTGTCCTTGCAGGGAAACCAGAGAAGCTGCTGGACTTGGCGGCAAGTGACGGGGCGGGGCGGGGTTGGAGAGGGCCCTCCATCAACTTGCCTTGAATGTTTGTTCCTCCAGTTTTAGCAGTTTAATCCTCGGAGATCACGCTGCTGGCTGGTGGCCCCGCCGCCCGTGGTGGGCTGTGGCGTGTTCTGCTTCGGCAGGAGGGCGCATGGCAGTTGTGCCTGGGGCTCTATTTTCTGGGGGCTGTGATGGCATGTATAAACCCAGTTATGCACATCTTACCATCTTGGTTTAGACATGGCTGATAGTTTGTTGTTTATCGGGAAGGGTCAAGTGGTGGCTAATTTTTTTTCTTTTTTGTTCTCTCAACTGTCAAGGTGAGTAAGAAATTGTTACTTAACGTAGTACTGATTTATTGGGCATTACAAATTCCACGAGCATTCCAACTTACCTTCTTTACGTAGCGTATCTTTGCTCTCATGGGGCTAGAGGTTGAAATCACTTCTCGTGTGTCAAGACTCGAGGAGCAGCGATGAAATGAATTGATGGTGCAGATGACTCCATACTCCAGCAGTCGGGGTCCCATAAAATCTAATTCCAACATGCTTTAAAAACAAGGGGACTCTATTACACATACCCCAGACATAAACCTTACTGGACTTGCGTGTTCATCCCTTAGGTTACTTTTCTGTTGCTGCATATTACCTACTACTACAAATTTAGCCAACGAAAATGATACACATTGTATCATCTCACAGTTTCTGTGGACTGGGAGCCCAAGCATGGCTTAGCGGGTCCTGCCTGGTGTCTCACAAAGCTGCAACCAGTGTTGACCAGGTTGTGTGCCTTCTGGAGGCTCCTTTGGGAAAGGATCTGTCTCCAGGTTCACTTAGGTTGTTGTCAGGATTCATATCCTGGTACCTGTGGGGCTGAGGGCTCCACATTCTTTCCGGCCATCGGCCGCGCTCAGCTCCTAGAAGCAGCCTGCGCTTTCCTGTCCTGTGGACCTTCCCAGCTTGTCTGCACTCCTTCAGGCCAGCAAGGAGGGTCCAGGCTGAATGTATTTGCAAGACAGTCTTGCGTGATGTTCTGTAATCATGCGAGTGACATCCCGCCGCCTTTGCTGTATGCCATTGATGAGAAGCAAGCTACGGGCCCCCCTCACGCCCAGGGGGAGGGGATTGCGTGAAGGCATGAACAGGAAGCAGAAGCTATGGGGGGGCTACCTTTAGTCTGTTTTACCACTTATATATGCACTGTGGAAGGCTGTATTATTTTTGAACTTGGTATTAATGGAATCTTCCTGTAGTTATTCTTCTACAACTCACTGTTTTTACCTAACATTGTGAGATTAATCTACATTGATGTCTATTTCTGTGCTTTCATTGTTTGTTGCCGCATAGTATTCCGTTATGTAAACAAGCATTTTATTTTTCCATTTTCCTGTTATTATGTATTTGGGTCCTTTCATTTTCTGCTAATCTAAACAATGCTATCTTGAATACTTTTGTACATATTTCCTTTTGTACGTTTGCATGAAATTCTAGGTAATCCACCCTTAGTGGAATTGTCTGGGTAATAGAGTGTGTGTATCTTCGGCTTACTGGTCAGTTCCAGACTGTCCTCCAAGTAGTTTTCCTTCACGCTCCCAGCAGGGGTCCCTAACAGTCCAGTGTTCTGCAGCCTCACCAGAGTTTGTTACGGTCAGGAGTTTAATTTTTGCCAATCAGATGCATATGGTATGGTCTTTTCAAGACGTTTTATTTCACTTTTTCTTTATTACTCTTTTAATATGCTTATTGGTCATTCATGTCTTTTTCTATGATGATATCTTTGGGTCATTTGCCTATTTTTGACTTGTACCATATACACATATTTTTTAATACGGGTTTTTAGATGTTCTTTGTATAACCTGGTTACTAATTCCTTGTCACTTTTAAGTTTTGCAGATTCTCTTCTCTGGTTTGGGACTTGTCACATTTTCTATTTAGTATCTTTTAATGTACAGAAGTTCTTAATTTTAATGTAGTTGAATTTATCAGTCTTTTCCATTATGGGTTTTGCCTTTTGTATCTCATTTAAGAAAATTAAAATTATGACTGTTACAAAGGCAAAATTTTCACCTATGTTTCCTTCTAAAGTTTAAAGTTTTGCCTTTCTATGTTTAAATGTTTAATTCAATGTTTATACATGATACGAAAGAAGGGATCCAATCTTATTTTCGTCCCCCATACAAATACCGGTTGTTCCAGCATCATTCAGTGAATGCTCCCATTTCTACCCACTGCCCTGCCAGCTCTGTCAGAAATCAGAATTCATATGTGAATTGGTCTGTTCCTCGACTGTTAGACTTCATTTTTTCTGTTTCTCTATCACTGTCTCTATTCAGTGCTGACTTCTAAATATTTTGGTATTTAAAAGGCCATGTCCTCTACCCTTTTTTTTTTTTTTTTTTTTTTGGTGAGTGCCTTGCTTACTCCTCTTTACTCTTCCATGTAAGTTTTTAGTCCCCTTGTCAGGTTCCAGGAAAAGCTCCATTGAGACTCTGATTGCTTTAAATCAGCCCATGTATTTGGTGTGAATCAACATTTTGCAATATAGCACCTATGAATCTATTAGGCATATCTATTTAGGTTATTTTCAGTGTTTTTCATTAAAGTTTTATAATTTCCTCCATTTTAGTCACTTTTGTCAGACCTATCCCTAGCTATCTTATATTTTGTTGCTACTCCAAAAGTTACTGTTCAAAAAATATTTTTTTTCTCTTGCTGATGTAGACAGTTAACTGTTGTATACTGTCCTTGTGTTTAGCCGCCTTGCTAAACTATCTCTCTAATTACAGTTCAAGTGTGGTTTGAGTGGATGCTCATATTATCTGTGGATAATTTGGTTTCTCCCCGTCTCATCCTTCTGTTTTGTGTGTCTTTCCAGTGTGTCTTTTGAGCTACCCCTGCAGAGTAGTCACCGGGTCAGACCATGCACGTTTGAATGTGGCATGTGCTTGCAAGGCCACTGTTCTCATGGGGTCTCGAAGTCCCCCCAACACAGTAGCTTCTCCCTCCTCCGGGCCTTCATGAATTTACCTGCCTCTGGTGCTTTTTGGTCACTCACTCTGTGACGTTAGTTATGTTTATATGTGCTGTAACTTCATGTTTTTCCCACTTCACAGATAGCAGTACCGTAGTGCCTTGGACCCAGAGGCCCCCAAAACAAGTTGTTTGATTGAAAGGCTTTCAGGGCACTTGCACTTATATGGAGGTTGCTGAATAATTCAAGGCAATATCTTGAATACTTTTCAACGTCTTGAATAACTCTTGACAAAACGTACATACTTTGAGAGACGGTATGTCCATAAGAATGAATATGACAGGAGGTGAGCTCATAAACCTGTTATCCTGGCAGCAGATTTTTGCTGTGTTTGTGCTCGGCCTTCTCGTCAGTGTCCCCAGCATTTCACAGCGTGCTCCCTTCCAGATTACCAACATTAGCGTATAATAGCTGTGGCTTGGCCATCTTCACGGCATTTTTATCACACCTGACTACTCTTCCAAAGTTATTTTTATGTGTAGCTCAGCACTAGCACCTCTTCTTGCCGAAAGCTCCAAGGGCGTTATAATAAGATTAAAACAATTTTAAGTGAGGATAGTAATAATCATAGCACAGTTGCCACCAAAACTGGTGTGTGGCATGGTTCACATAAATACTGGCAGGAGGCTGTGGGGATGTGTGTTTCTTGGCTAATGTGGTCGTACAGGTCACAGCGGATTCATATTCCTGAGCCGTAAGGCTTATGGCTGTTGAATTCTTGACAGTTTTTCAGTATTTGAGAAGTTTCACGACTTCATATTTTATTTCATACCATTTCAAGTTTCCATACTTCAGGTTTGCATGAAGTGTGACTGTATCATCTCACCTCTGAATAGGAATAACTGTGTAGATTCTAAGTAATGTCTGTAGTCAATGCCTCCTAACGTCTCTCCAACCATTTTTCTTCGCCCAGGTGCCATTGGGCTTCTCCGCTCCACTCGATGGCCTTCCCCCGGTCCCCCACATGGCATGCTGCACCCTAGAAAACCTGTATCTTCTGATGGGCAGGGAGCTGGAAGGCCTGGAGGAGGTACCTCCAGGAAATGTGCTAGGTAAGGAGGCACTGTGCCCCGTATCTCTTCCCTGCACTCCGTTCTCAGAGCTCACCCAACACGTCACCCAGACTTAGTGAGCTCTTGGAAGGAAATGACTTTGATCTCTGCTTTAGTGTGGTTATTTTTTTCCTGGTGTCCTTAGACCTTAACGTACCACCTTTGAGCAATCAGCATGTGGATCGGTGACTTGCTGTGAGTTGCGGTAGTTCTGTTTTAAAAAGCACTGCCGAAGTCATTTGCGAGTGCTCCGTTTTAAGTGGGGGTTCCATTTGGTTGGGAGCAGGAAGGGGAATTCTTGCTCACATAAAAGTCTGATGAGTGAGACACTTCTGGTTCTAAATTATTAGAAACTATTCTGATGTGATTTCTTGCAGTATTTTTCATCCATTGAGTGTTGCTTTACGAACAGTCATCAGCTTACATCCACAAATGCTGTTCGTCAACCCCGTGATGTTTATTGGCTTCTGCTTCTGTGTGCGGAATTCACTTTCTGAGGTCCTTAATGCAACCCGGAAGTCTCAGGTTGAGGAATTCCGTTGGGAGCATCACAGGAACCCGTGTGTGCTCTGGGGTGTCATATCCCCTGTACCGCTGGTTCTGAACCCTTAGGGTGTCTGTCAGCTCTGAAGCTATGTCTTGGGTGATTGCTTGGCTGGGAATTCTCTTTGTTTTCGAGAAATGGTCTAGACTACTGGTCCAGAACAGCTAATGATTTGTTTGGATTTTGTGAACCTGAGTCCAAGAAATTTGCCTAAGCATTTTGCCACTCCCTCACAGAGATCCATTCTTTTCTTTAGTTTATAATTCTTTTTCTTTTCTTTTTTTTTTTTTGGTGGAGGGCCATGGAATTAGTAGAATTCCTAGCTTTTCATCAGTGTTACCCATTCTCTTCCATTCCTTTAAAAAATGCCATTGAACCTTGACAGTTGATAGAACTCTGAGCTACCATGGCCAACAAAACACTTTACAGGAAGGACATGGGAACGAAGAATGGAAAACACTCTAGTTTTGGTTATAGGATTACTGTTTTGCTCAGACTCGGTCCACTTTGTTTCTTAAATGGAAGGGAAGGCAGAAGATCTCTAAGGTCGATACTCAAGTGAAAGAGAAGGCGTTTGTAGAGTGAAAGGTTTTTGTCCTGTTTCCTCCAAGTAAGGCCAGTGTTGGCAGTCTTTCCCCGGTAGAGGCTGGGGACTTGACAGGCAATGGTTTCTGGATCTCCACGTGCTGTCCAGGGCTGAGGCTCTGCGGTTTTAAGGAGGAAAACCATCTGTCTTCATCTGCCGCCCAGGGCAGCCCTCTGCCCACCATCTGCTGCAGGAGACCTTTGTAAGCTAACTGTCTTCCTCTTGGAGAAAAGAGGTGTGCCTCATTCCCGTTTACTGCTGTTTCAGAATAATGGTGGGGTGCTTGGTAGGAGCTGGGGTGATGGTGCAGGTGACGAAATGTTTGTTCACCAAATTTAGCTGTGTAGAAATAACACAGATGGACACACCACTTTGGGGCAAAGTGGACGGAAGAGGAAAGCCAGATTTATTTTGCACAGGAGTTAGGGTTGTGTTTAGCTGCAGGTAACCAAAAACCAACTGCGGAGTTTTGAATTTCTCTCAACAGGAAGCGGGAGGGTAGATAGTCCAGGGCTGGAGTGATGGCTCTCCTGCAGCCTCAGAGGGCTGGTTCCTTCTGTCTGACTGTTTGCAGTGCTCAGCGTGCGGCCTTTGCCCCCCAGGGAACCACGACAGCTTCGGGACCTCCAAGAATCACACACACAGTCCTGGCAGGAAGAGGGCACAGGGGCCAAAGGTCTTCTCACAGCACTTCTGTTTTCATTTGGGAAGAAATGCTCACTTAGTGACGTCTCTGTCTGTATTCTCATTGTTTGTGACTTCTGTCACATGGCCAGCCCTAGTTGCAGGAGAGGCGAGGGACGGCCTCCGCAGTTAAGGCAGTTGTGAGTAGCCTTCAACTGGCCGATCCACACTGCCAGCCGCATTCCTCCCGCCCGGGCCGGGCCCTGCCTGGGGCCCTGCTGGAGATTCTATTTCTTTCTTTTTTTTTTTTTTTAAAGATTTTATTTATTTATTTGAGAGAGAGAGAGCACATGAGAGGGGGGAGGGTCAGAGGGAGAAGCAGGCTCCTTGCTGAGCAGGGAGCCCGATGCGGGACTCGATCCAGGGACTCCAGGATCATGACCTGAGCCGAAGGCAGTCGCTTGACCACCTGAGCCACCCAGGCGCCCCAGGAGATTCTGTTTCTTCACGTTAAGGAGGAAGATAGTCCACCAGGAGGATTACGAATGTAACCTTGAAGGGGGGAATCCAGCCAACCACTTTATTTGCCTTTTGAATTGAAACTAACATAATTGTTTTCCTTTTATTAATCCAGATTCAACTGAGCCCCATGCAGGACTGGAAAACATGAGTATACCAAAATTCTGGTCATAGTTGGGCCACTTACTAGTTGTACGGCCTCGGGCTGGTTGTATGGCCTTTCTGGACTCAAGCTTCCCCAGATGATTTGAACTAGGGCAGGGACTGCTAACATTTCTTATGGCAAAACTAGAATAGCCACTTAAACCTTTCTTTAGGAAGACTCTTTGTGGGTTCTCAGGACTTCTTTTATTATATTTATCACATATTGTTATATTTATCATATATTCTAAACATTAAGGATGAATATTAAATAGCGTCATATCGTCATATGGAGGACATTTTATTGCTATAGCTATAAAATATACACAAAATTACATTTTGTACATTTTAAGATATGAACGGAACTGAAGTTTCAAGTTGCCATTATATTATGGTGGGTTGACATTTCAGTGAGGATGGAGCAAGGTAAAAGTTCTTAGTGCTTGGGTCATGAAGGTCTCACATGGATCATGTCAGTTTTTCACTGGTTGGAAAAAATGCTAAAGTAGTGTATCTCTCAGGTCCCTTCTAGATTTAACTTCTCAGGCTTGTGCTTCTTAGAGAAAAAATGTTATTTCAGGTAATTAGGGTATTTCCCTTCCTAGTGTCGGTTGAGGGGCAGTGAGTTTCTGATATGGTTACTTGGATGGGTTGATAACCCATTTAGGTGGCTGCACGGGGACATCTTGAACCTCATTACCAGCGCTAGAGTCAGGACGACACTTTCAGGCAAAGTCCGCTTGTTTGTTGATTAAAAACCTGGAGCACCGGTCTCGGGAGCAGCAGTTTCATAAGCCAGGTGTTTAATAAGGAACTTCCCAAAGCTAGGAGTGTGTTTCCGGCAGCGGAGAGGAGCAGGCCGGGGGAACAGCGGCTGGCACCCCCGCCACCAGGTTGCCCGGTGAGTCGCCCGAGAGCAGGCATGCAGCCCAGCTGGGTTTTTACGCTTGCCGGTTTGTCTTCTTGGGGAGATTCGAAGTTAAAAAAAAGTAAGACGATGGCTGAATCTGGTCGAATTGATGTACACGTTCCAGTTATTGTTGCTGCGTAACAAAGCACCGAAGCCTGGCGGCTTAAAGATGGCTTGTAGTTTTTCACGAGTCTGCGGTTTGGGCGTGGTTTGGTGGGACACCTGGTCTCCGTGTCTCGTGGTGTCAGCTGGGGCGCCCCGGGCCTGGGTGCTGGACTTAGAGGAGGCTCCTTTCACTTCCGTGGGGAGGCTGCTGCTGGCTAGCTGGGGCCTGGGCTGGGGGTGGGACTGGGGCCTGAACACGTGGCCTCCCCACAGGGCGGCTTGGCGTCCTCACAGCGCGATGCTGGGCTCTGCAGGGCAGCATCCGGGAGGACGAGCCCGGAGAAGCTCTGTCAGCTTTAGGACCTAGCCTACCCCCGCTCCGACCTCACTCCGTAGCAGAAGTGAGTCACCACGACTGGCCCGCATTCGGAGGGAGGAGACGGACTCTACCTTTTGATGGCAGACACGTCAAAGAACTTGTGAACATGTTTTAAGATGACCACACCGTGAACCATAGATAATTTCTTGTTTTCTTTTCTATTTTAGCAGGCCCCTGACAGGACGCATATTGCAAATTAAGACATAACAGAATTTATAGCAATCAGGCCTATAAATCCCGTCTATTTTGCTCTTGTTAACTTAGAGAAAAGGTTGTAATTCCTGTTTAATAAGAACATAAGAGAGAATGATATGACTGATACCCATGTGCTTTTCATCACTGATGATGCCGAGTCGGATTGATCAAATGCAGATGAAAATTTCTGTTGGAGAAGGAAATGAAAACTTCTATGGCATTTTTTTTACAAGTCAGTGCATATAGGCAAAGTCCAAAGGAAAGTTCCTTTATTGGCACTTGGAAGATGAAGACTTCACATTTGAACTCTGTTATAACTCACTTGGAGAACTTACATTGACTGATAAGTGTGGAATAGAGTCTGTGGTCTGGAAATAGTTGATTTAAAGTTTAAAATCATTTAATTCCAACCTGATGTTTAAAAAGCTCAGATAGATGGGACGAGAGAGAGACCTCCCCGTGTTTAACACACAATAGCCCTTTGTTCAGCCCCTACCAAGAACGTCTCTAAAAATAAATGTTTGCTACAGGCTCCTATTAAAATGTGAGGGGAAATTGAATTAGGATTCCAAATCTTTAGCCTTTTCTTATACACTTTCAGAACTCTTCCATATGGTTAAGTCTTTAACATTTCAAGGCCATATTCTAAGAGGAAACGTGATACTCCTCTTTTCACAACAGGAGGAAAATAACATTAATTAGCTTTTTTCTGAGCTGGTTTTAGTTCTGCCGTGGTGGGTTGCTGGGTGATGGGAAGTCAGTGGAGATTGAATGAAGGGTGTGTGTGTGTGTGTGTGTGTCTGCCCGTCTGTCTGTCCTTAGTCGTGTGGGGAACTTGAGGAGTCAGAGCCTTTGGCATTACATGCAGATTTGATTTTGTTGTTGCCAAGGAAATCTCAACAGTTTGTGACTCTTAAGTCTTAGTGGTACTTTTTGTAATACATTGAATTCACTTACTAGTGAATTTCTTTTCTTTTTTTTTTTTGTAGGTTTTTTT